GGCGTTCTTTATTTGAAATGGACCAAAAATATAAGGCATTATGAGTAACATGATATACATCATTAAATTGTAATTATTTCGTTATAAATAGATCCGAATGTGCGTACCCAATATGTTCTATAAAATAAAATAACTGCAATAAAAGAGGGACTAATAAAAGTTGAAGAGCTCCCTGAATAGGAAGAAGTATGACAAAACTTCTGTAAGTGTTGAGGTGAATAAAACTAAGAGAATGAATATCTTAAAAATGTATATTACCACTTACTCTTGTATGCAGATTTACTTGAGAGAAAGAATGTCTTAGGGAAAATACTTTTGGACCTTCGTTTTGTTGTGTTAACGCAACTTTTAAAACTTTCCGGGTATTTGAATTTTTCTTCAGTAGCTTTGATAGATGCAGAGTTTGCTTGATAATATATATAACAATATTTTGAACAAAATAAAGTTTATTTTCTTTTGTTTATCATTTGAAAGTTTTCCTGCTGGAGAAGCAACATGGGTATATGCTAGAAAATATTTTGTTCATATATGTATTGATAAAAAAGGCAACTTTTATATTTAAACAATAATTTTATGTTTATATTTTAGGTAATACATATATGCAAAATAGTTTTTTTAATTTCATGTTATATATCTAATCATAAAAGGGTGAATTTTTAAATCAATTTTCTACTTATTATTCTTCACAATAAAATAATATAATGCTAAATTATTTAATTGGAAAAATCATTTAACTCAATAGCTTCACTGATAAGTTATAATAGAAATAAAACAAATAATTTTCCTTAAAATTCTTGCAAAACAAACCGAAAAAATTTCGTTTTTCGGACATGTTTGAGCCACAAAAGCCATGATTTTTTAAATATTATATTGATAACCAGACTCATCTCTTTAATATTTATTAAAAACTCTGTTAAGCTTCTCAATATTGATCTAGATTTATTTCTATAGTCAAAGATAAAGTATATACCTTAAATAATGTTTTCTAAGCGTGGACTTTTCCATTCCAATTGATCTAATTTAAATCCTAATGTTTATATATTAAAAATTTTTAAAAATCAATAAATGTAAACGGTTTTTATAGTAAAACGGGGTTATTATAAACCTTTTATATTTATAATTATTAATAAAATAACCGATCTCTTAGCAGTAGACAACAGTAAGACATACTTTTTTCTATTGAAATATCTGTTAAAATCATTTAATTTGACCTATAATTAAAAAGTTCCAGATTGTGCCCATTAAGAAGAATCATGTCTCAAGTAATAATTACCCAGTTGAAATTAATCATCATCATGAAAAACACCGATAATAACAATTAAGTGTGTGTTGGCAGGAAGTTATTTTTCGTAATGCTTCTAATGAATAAATATTTATATTGAGTTACATTTTGTTAGAATCCAAAAAGTGTTAATCTCAGATGAAACCCAGTTGATGGGAACTAATAGGGACACCTGAAAATCTGAACTTACTTAAATTTGAACATTGCTTCTGTATATTATTGTCGTGAATACATAAGATCCTTTTATAATTGGCAAAAATTGATAAGGTCAGCACCTACTTTAGCGCGAGTCGTTGACTGTAGTCTTTTCCAAATATTCCGTTCGGTTAATAAATTTTCCTATATTACTTGGTAGTTATGTGATTCAATTTTTTAAAACTTATTTTTAGTACAATTTTATAATCTTTGATAAAACAACTAGTAAGATCTTCTTAATGTAATATTTTTGAAGAACAGGTAGAAATCTATAAATATCTAACGGTTTTTTTGCTTGTACACATTTAATCTAGTTGCTTCCAAAAACACTTAATTGTTCCGATTTACATGGTCTAATGATATTAATTAAACCAACAATGCCCAATTAATCTGTGATAATAAATTAATTAGCTGTTCGAATTATTATAACGTGACTATTAACCGTTTAGGTTGATATTTAGGCGATTTTTTCCCAATTCTAGTTGGCAACCTCGGCAATGGTCTAAAAATAACAAAAAATATAGTAGTTTTCCTTAGACCATTAGATGGTCGTTTTCAATACGAAAAGTACATAATAATAGGAATCACTAATATCCATATAAAAACACTGTAAAATAATGGCTTTCGGTTAGAAAGATACATTAGCATCTTAATTCATATGGCCACCTTAAATATAAGAAAAAGTTGTATTAAAACTTAAAGAACTACAAGTTTTCCGTTAATTTTTAATCCATTAATGTCGATAGCAGCAGATCTGTTTCTCTACTAAGAAAATATTATAAAAAAATGGGCGCTATATAGAGCATTTTTTATAAAAGGTGAGTCATTTTATAGTAGCAGGAATTTAACCGTCGATCGAAAATCCAATTTTAAGATGAAAGTATCATACAAACATATACTGAAACCAGCTTCGTTTTTGAGATACAAAAACAAGACCAAACTAACACTTTATTTTATTGTTTTAATAATTTCTGCAAATCTTAAGATACTGTAATAAAATTCTATATTTTGGGTTATCTGGTCTTATCGCATTAGCACACCCAATCATTGAAAATTTACTTTATCTAAAAATCGAAATCTAATCCCTCTTGGACTACGGACATATACTCATCGCCAACGGAACAGAAAGGACAAAACGATACGTACAAA